TCAGGAGAATAGAGGTTTTGAGAAGTGTGGAACCACCTTAATTGCTGTTGTTCCCAGGTTCACCCTGACCTGTGGGTGGTAGCACCTGTTAAGGGTCCCAGCTATGCGCAAATAGTGAACCCCCAAGCAAAAACAAAACATTATGAAAATATAAAGATACATTTTTACAGTAAAAATGGCAACAATTCATTTTTATATAAAAAATTACCAACAATACACATCTATAGTAATATTACCAACAACAACTATTTATAGTAAAATCACCAATACATTTTTAAAGCAAAATGACCAACAATACATTCAGTCAGTTATGTACCATGTGTGATACGCACTTAGGCAATCATGTATCGAAAGATACATGACTGGAGGCAGATTTTTTTTCCTGCAGTCGGTTGCCATTTCTTTCTGCAGTAGACCACTTGCCATCCAAGGCTATAGAAGCTGGTCTGTCCTGACATTTACTGATAGCTGGCGGGGAGAAGAAGAGGATTCATACTTTTCCCATGGGTATTAGCACATAAGTGAATGTAATGAATTTGAATGGAATTCGAACCCAGCTCTCCAATTCCTCAATACAAGCTGCTATCTATTACTCCACCAGAGCAAAATAATGAACAATACATTTTTTCAGTAGTTGAAGGCATACAATTGCGTTCAAAATACATTCAGTTGAAGTGATAAAATTGTGTTTAAAATATTTCGATTTTGGCCTTAAATAATCCATATAGGTTCATACGCCGTTAAACAAAATCAACCAACAACTTCAAATAAAAGATTAAGAAGGAAACCCCCATCAATACTGGAAAGAGCTGTAAAAGTCACTGGACTTAAGAAACCTATTTTTGTGAAAAATTGTTCAAATAGAAAGATTTTATAAATTTTCTACCAACAGCAACACTGGCTGCCAAATATAGCAATAGTAATATCAGCTGAAACAGCTAATATTACTATTACGCTTATTACTATCATCATTATCTTATTCTCTGTGTAGAATCTAAAAGAGACTAAAACCTTTACTATAAAATAAACCATACACAGCAGCAAAGAGGCAGTGAAAAGAAACTAGTTTCATTTGAATAAGAGGGTAGGCTCACTTTAAGATCTTTCTTTCACCCCTAATGATCTTTCTTTCACTGCGGGATGTGAAGCCTGGTTAAGTATGAAGGTGTATTCAAGGGAATATGTCTAGTGCCATTTTACTTGATAAACTGCCTTATATAATTTTTTTACAAGAATTGTATACCTTCCTAGCTAGGGTTCCATCTTTTCTTCCTCAAGGAGCCTTAGTTGTTGCTTTTCTGGGCTTTTTACAAGTAGCTATTCATGAAAAGCATTCTTCTTATCAATCCAGCCATTAGCCCTATCCCAAACGCTTACAATAACATTTGTATTTTCCCTGTTTCTTATTTTATCTGTTGGCTTATCCCTTTAAGTATGCCAGGTGAAGACGACAATGTCAGGTATTGTTGAACTCTGTAAGAACTTTGTGTCAGTTGAGTTGATTAACAAAGTATAAACTTTGTAATCCATTAAGGGTACTTTTAATGGTTTCCCAGCTGCTTGTTCATCATATGGTACATGTGGTTAGACTAATTGTCGAGGGAACTTTTCAAGTGGTACGTACAAACTGAAAATAGAATTTTTTAAATTAAAATTTACGTTGTGTTAAGTTGCATGAGTTCAACAACAGGACTCTTGCCCAAGATATATCAGCTTTTGATGATTCTATTTAAAATAAATCTGGTTGTTTTATGTCCGACAACTCTCCACAACTTCCTATCCTTTGTAGCTCCAAGCAGTGTTTATCCCCAAACTATCCCTCCTAGTCCCTGTTCTAACTTCTGCTCAAACAATCTTATTAGTAGGTAATTATGGCTCTCCACAACTTCCTATCCTTTGTAGCTCCAAGCAGTGTTTGTCCCCAAAACCATCCTTCCTAGTCCAATCTTATTCTAACTAATTCTGGCTCTAAACTTCCTATCCTTTATAGCTCAAGCAGTGGTCCCCAAACTATCCTTCTATGGTTCTAACTTCTGCTTAAACAACAATGGCTCTTCCTTATCCTTTGTAGCTCAAGCAGTGTTTGTCCCCAAACTATCCTTCCTAGTCCCTGTTCTAACTTCTGCTTAAACAATCTTATTAGTAGGTAATTATGGCTCTCCACAACTTCCTATCCTTTGTAGCTCTAAACAGTGTTTGTCCCCAAACTATCCTTCCTAGTCCCTGTTCTAACTTCTGTTTATACAATCTCATTAGTAGGTAATTATGGCTCTCCACAACTTCCTATCATTTGTAGCTCCGAGCTATCTTTTTTTTTTTTTTTCGTTTTCCTTATAATTTCAAACTGTTATATAGGAATAAAGTAAATTTAAGTTTTTTTGCAAATCATTAGCAATAGAACATATTACAACACTCCCTCATCACCCAAGATCAAACAGACAAGTGGAATGGTTTGTCAATACTTTTAAAAGGGCACTAAAAATATTAGCGGGAGAGGAGTCAGATGACAAAATGCTACAACAATTTTATATATATATATATATATATATATATATATATATATATATATACACACACACACGTTTGTGTGTGTGTAATGTATATACTCTTGTATATACATTATGTCATGCGACCTTTGAAGACCTAATTTTGAACACCCTGTCTGGAATGTCACCTGCAGAGTTGATATTTGCCAGGAAGATTAAGTCTGTATTTAACAACTTACTATCAGAATGGAGGAAATCAAAATAATATAAATAAATATTTTAAACCTGGTGTTAAAGTGTTTTTTAAAATGTACCAATATGGAAAATAATTCTGGGAAGATCGCATGATAAAAAAAAAAAAATAAAAAAAAAACGGATTGGAAAGATGACATACATGGTACAGGGCCAAAGGTAGGAATGTAAACAACACCTAATCAGATAAAAACAGAGATTCACTGATTTAGTGAGTCCATGAAAAGAGGTACCGATAGAAATATAGTATAATATAATTGACATACTCATGCCACTAGAAATTAGTGAACTAAGTAATAGTAAAAGAAAAAGAACAGCAACAGAACATTTGAATATTGAACCGAAGATGAAGAAATATAGACTCCAGAAGAAGTCATCTCAAAGGGGAGGGTGTTATATAGGAATAAAGTGTCACTGCCACACTTGAGTTTGAACACACATCGCCAGTGAGCAAACACAGGCGATCCCATTATTGAATTAAGTGAATCATGTGACCATACAGGAAATGCATATATATGAAGTCATGTGACGTCTAGACTGATTGCATTTCTATTCTATCCTCTATTACTATTCGGGTCATTATTTCTACTCTATCCTCTATTATGTTACGGATTACTGTTCAAGCGAGTATTATCGAGGAAGTAACATTAGTGCGAGTGATATTTGAAGGCGTCTGACACCAGCATTGTTCAACAGCGTACTATAGTTTGTATCTCTACTACAACGAGCATTACGAAAGTGACGAGTATTCATTGACATCATAAAAGTGGCAACGAGTGTTCGTTGACATCACAAAACAAACCATGGAGAAAGTGTTTCACTTTCGACGTTGCTTGTTGACTATGTGGCTTGACAGCTGCACAGAGTTGCCTAAGACCTAACCTGTTGCACACATTGTTATCGGGATTACCCATCACTTAACTGTGCTTTCGTCCACTGTTTGGTCTCTGTAAAGGCTTCACAGGCAGCAATAAATCTCAGACGCTGCAGCTTTTTTTATGGAGCAATTCAATGATACACCTCTACTTTGTATGCACTTTCATGCCAGCCACTGTTTTGCCAGCCACTGTTTTGCCAGCCTGCTATCAGTAACAAGACAGACAGAATTATATGTGATTGTTTTCAGTTACTTCATTTACATCTTATAATTCTGTGGGTTATTTAAAGCCTTATTTTGACCAATGAAAAAATAAAATTTGTCAGTCTTACTATTATTAGTCTTATTAGAAGTATTCATCTTATTTTTTTTTTTTATTTTAAAAATAAAATTTATGGAAACAAAACAAGTACAGTTGACCACTGATGACAATTTTTTCTATCCTCTGCCATCCTCAATTGCCAGCGAATTATAGCATTACCTCGAACCATCGCCAGTGAGACACGCTGCAAGAGCCACTCCGTTTCGTGAGGCTCGTCCCTTAATCGAGACGCAATCGCGCCAATCCTCTGAAGGAACGCCATTGAATGAGGGCCAATAACCCCAGAAGTCTCCACTATCAGCAAGAGAAGAATATTTAAGTACTTTTTTCATCTCTGCGTCCCGGGCGACGGATCCTGGCTCAACCGCGGAACTGATCAAATTACCGACTGAAAATGTATCCACACAGGTCGCATCCCAAATCAACGACTTCTCCATTTTAAAAGGGAAAATAGTAATGCCATCCAGCTGCTTTCCATCACCGCGGTCGAGGCCTACGGGTTCGATTTGGGAAGGGAACCCAGCTGCATCCAAACCTCTTTTGATGATGTCGTTAATTCATCTTATTATTTTTTCGTCGGCCAAAATAAGCTTATTTTCCATATGAAGTGATTTTGGATTTTATTGTGTATTAGTTCTTGCTCTGTAATAATAAATACATTGAGCTCTTTTTGGAGATCAGTTTTAATATTTTATATTACTAGGATCCACTTGAATTATATACCAAATAGAATTATTACCTTCCTCTCTCTCTCTCTCTCTCTCTATATATATATATATATATATATAGAGAGAGAGAGAGAGAGATCATTCTGCTAAATTACACACTTTTGATGCTTAGTAATACACTGGCCATTATTAAAATAAATTCTGTCTGACAATGTCTTAGTGTTTTTTTTTTTTTTTTAGGCAAGTGGTCTAAATGTTATTCTAACAACAAAGAAGAGGACATTTGTCTGAATGTAAATAATAACAAAATTTATGCAAACTCATTTTAAATGAAACTTCAAAGTTTTTGTTTCACTTTTTATTTCTAAACGAAATATTTTTTTGTTTCTTTTCAGGTCGAAATTTGGATGAGTCTGTTCTCCAAAAATGTTTAATTTCTTGTCTATCTGAAGACAGCAATTCCTAAGTCAATTCCTTTTTCTGAGAGGCTTGTGACTATCAAAGGACATCAGAAAGTTTGCCTCTCTGACAAAACATTTTCAAAAGTTTACTTGAATATAAATTAAAACTTTAAACCATTTTGAATTTTGTCTTCTCTTTTATTCTTTATTATGCACAAGCAAATAAGTGTTTTATAATAATTATTATAATAATAAAACTTAGATATCTATTAAGACACGTAAAAATTACTAGAATTTAACGTATTTTAAGGGTAGCAGAATTTTTGCCTAGAATGGTAATATTAAAAGACAGACAGCATTTTACATGCTAGGCACTTTCCAAGAACCATTACCTCAACCGATTTCATCATCATAATGTTCTTTGTTTTTCAAATAAAAATTTCAAATTTCACCAGGAAATCGAAACTCTATTTTTAAATTGTAATTAAAATTTAAAAAGCAATTTTCTTGTTTTTGCTAAAAAGAACTTTCAAAATTCAGACTAAAAAAAAATCAAATTTTCATTATTTTGTTTTTTTTTTTTTTTTTTTTTTTGTTTAATCATTTCACCCCAAGCAAGGCAGTAATGCATGGAGTTAAATGAGGAGTGAAAGTGAAAGAGAATGAAAAGATTGAACATAGGGATCATTGTGGAAAGGACAAAAATGAACAAGTTTCAAGAAGACAGAATATGGCAGTTGATGTTGCATTTAAATTTTTGAAGATTGTAGGGAAGCAAGAAAATGGAAGCAAGTTCCACAGATGGGAAGTGTGAGAAAAGAAACTATTGGAGTAGAAGTGGTGATTTCAGTTAGTTATTTCAATAGCAAAACGGTGGGACCTAGATGCCAATCTAGCAGCACACTTAAATTCATGTAGTCAGAGCACCAGGGGAAAAAAGATCATCAGAGCAGAAGCCATGAAAATATTTGTAGAAAAGACAGAGGGAAGCCATATTTTGTCATTGAGAAAGTGACTGAAGTCTAGTTTCCAAGTTAGGATCAATTACATTACAGATTTTGTCAAGAATCTCCAGATGTACTGTTGTCAATAAATCAATGGTTACAACATATTTGGTTACAACACTTGAACTATGTTTTTAAAAAAAGATGGCTGGAGATTTGTGATAGTTGACCACTTATGATGCAATAATGCAACCTATTTTTCAGATTGAGTGCTATTTTACTATATGCCCATTTGATGAGGGGGATGCAACTCCTACCGAAAATATATTTAACTTAAGCAGTAAACCTACTTTAAAAATGAAATGATTTGATGAAGCATTTCAGCAGTTAACGAACCAGCATTAAATTGAGATTTTCCTTTTGGAATCTGACAAATAAGACTTTCATACCTTTGAGGACGTTTCAATTGAGTATTTTTTCATATCATGATCATGAGTCTTGAATCCCTTTAGGGGCACTACATGTACTGCAGCTGTGGCAGCAGTGAGGTACCTTTGGCAATTTTTTACTGTATTATTGAAGATTCAACTATGCCTTTCTTTTTTTTTTTTTTTTTTTTTTTTTTTTTTTTTTAAGCGTTTCACCCCAAGCCTGTGAACTTGAGTAAATGGATAGTGGAACAAGGTTTAACTAGGACACAAGGGGTTACAGAAAATTTGGAGCAAGATCAGATAGAAGTGATAGAAGAAAGGATGAGGAAAAGGGTAGTGGATAGATCAAGGCAACTGGAGATGTCGATTGACATTACATTTGAATAGCTGGAGATTAAAGCTCTCAGGGAAACTGGAATAGGGAAGGGAGTTCCACAGGCGAGAGGTGTGAGACATGAAGCTATTGCAGTAGAAGAGACGGCTACATTTAGGAGTTTCGACAGTGAAAGGGTGAGAGTGGGATGCCAGCCTCGTAGGGCGCTTGAATTCATGAAGTCTGGGAACCAGCAAATGCAGCTCCTCGGAGCAATTGCCATGAAAGTATTTGTAAAAAAGACAGAGAGCGGTGACGGCGTGTCTGTGAGAAAGAGACTGTAGACGAGATGCCAGAGTAGGGCCAATTATATTGCATATCCACCTCTGGAGCCTATCAAGAACCCCGAGGCAAACAGAAGGGGCTCCAGCCCATATATGGCAGCAATACTCCATGCAAGGGTGAATTGTTGATTTGTAGATCTGGAGGATCGATTCCGGGGAGAAAAATTTCCTGGCGTGGCACAGGGAGCCAACTTTCCTTACGGTGGACAAAGCAATTCTCTTTTGATTAAAGCATCCAAGCTTATCCAGTTTAGATTTCCATGTCTTTTTCACTTGACTGAATCCAAACACCAAGGTATTTGAAGTCATCTAATTGCTTCAGCTTGTTTCCTTCTAATACAATGGCTTCACCATCTGGTCGATTGTATAACATACAGGGTACGATGGATAAATTGTCGTTTAAATTACACAAAAATAAAAATAATACTGAGATCTTAATTTAACAGATATATTTACCAAAATAACACAAAAATATCTTGAAATACTAAAGAGTAAATTTATTCAATAATATTGCTATTGGGTTCAACCGCAACTTCCAGATGACTTCAGAATCTTCTGCAAATCTTCTGGATTGTTTCCTTGTTTAAGTTTGTGAATGCTGCCATAATCTTCAGTTCTTCTTTAGTGTTACAAGGAGTTGGTTTCTCGCTCAACTGCGCCCCCCCCCAATAATCATCATGGGGGTTGCAGTCTGGGGAGTTAGGTAGGCAGATGTAAGGGGTGATGTGGTCACAGAAATTGCCTGACAGCCATGACTGGGTTCTCCTGGTTGTGTGGCATGGAGCAGAGTCCTGTTGTCAGACATAGGATCTTCAAGCAGCCACCCTCTTGGCCCAGGCAGTGCTATTTCCACAAGGCACTTGATGTAGGCCTCTGTGTTGAGTCTGAGAAGATCAATGGAAGCATAACATCGCCATCACTAATGATCACTCCAAATACCTTTGTAATCACCATTAGACTCAACCGACTCTTTCTGAATTCTCTTCACTGTCCTCACATTGACTCCCAAACGCTTTGAAATGTTCGTATTGGAGATTCTGTGTGGCAGCGAATGCTGGACAATCTCCTCAAAGATTAAGAAGAGACTTGAAGCAACAGAAACCTGGTTCTACAGAAGGATACCATGGACCGAATATGTGAGCAATGGTGAAGTTTTAGAGAAAATAAGAACAAAATGGAAGCTTATATTTAACATCCGTAAAAGACAGTTGAAATTTCTAGGGCACATAATAAGGAAAAGGGGCTTGTAAAATCCAATGCTCACAGGACAGATTAACGGAAAGAAGAACAGAGAAGAACAATGTATAACCGACTTTGTGAACTTGAGTAAATGGACAGTAGAACAGGGTTTAAGAGAGATAGCAAAAAGACAAAATTTACAAAGGATAGGAAATTGTGAAGAGCCATGATCGCCTACCTCTTGAAGGGATACGGCACATAAAGAAGAACCCTTCGTGAATTATTTAAATACGAAGCATAAGGATAATTTTTTTTTGCAAGTGAATATTGCATTAACATTTTCCAGATACATTTCTACTTTTTAACCCCTTACTGGGGGGAGATGGATTCATAGCTTTTCTAAAGTATTTGCACGTAAGTGAATGTAACGAACTCGACTGGAATTCGAACTTGGTTCTCCGATTTCTTATTCCGATCCGCTATCGATCACACCACCCGAACATCCAGACTGAAAGAAACGACCATGTTCGTTGGTTTGTTTTGTTTTGTTTTACAGCATATCAAAACCTCAATGGGTTATTTTATGCCAACAACTTTTTTTTTGTCTATAATTCTGAGATGAGGTAAACGTTGTGATAAATATGGCGACAAAGATGAGGACAATAGTCCGAATAATGTAAATAACGAACTATTTTTTCCTGGTAATATTTTTGTTTTGTCAAAAATCTATTTCTGTTAATATTTTTTCCTCAAAAATGTATAGCTGGTAATATTATTTTTGGAAATAATTTTTTTACAAAGTATTTCTGGTATTAAAATCTATTTTTACACTTTTATAATGTTTTTTTTTTTACCTCAGTTTCGGGGTTAACTATTTGCCCGTAGCTGGGACCCTAACAGGTACTACCACCCCGGGTCAGGGTGGACCTGGGAACACCGGCAATTAAGAGGTGGTTCACGCTCTTCAAAATCTCAATCAGAGGACTTGCAGTTGGACGTAGTATATCGTCTTACCCAGGACGCGGATGTAGTTTATCGTCATACCCAGGACGCGGATGTAGTTTATCGTCTTACCCAGGAGGCAAATGTAGTTTATCGTCATACGCAGGACGCGGATGTAGTTTATCGTCATACCCAGGACGCGGATGTAGTTTATCGTCTTACCCAGGAGGCAAATGTAGTTTATCGTCATACACAGGACGCGGAAGTAGTTTATCGTCATACCCAGGACGCGGATGTAGTTTATCGTCATACCCAGGACGCGGATGTAGTTTATCGTCTTACCCAGGACGCGGATGTAGTTTATCGTCATACCCAGGACGCGGATGTAGTATATCGTCTTACCCAGGACGCGGATGTAGTTTATCGTCATACCCAGGACGCGATCATGTTCGTGTTCATTAGAAATAGAAGTAAAACTATAGAAGAATTGTTATTCAATATTTAATGTTAATGTCTGTTTTTGTTGTTTATATTTTACTCTTATGAAATATATTTTGCAACTTTTGGACTCAGTGGAAGCGGGGCGAGCAAAAACTGTGCAGTGGTAAAAATAAGAAGTAAACGAGATATCCCTAGACATGAGCAGTGTACCGCCGCAGATTAAAGGGTCCAGTTCGGAATTCCCCGTGAGCTACCCGGATCGACACAACACCTGATGAAGGCCGGATGGCACACCAGCCGAAACAACAACAAAGATTAGGACAACCATCCACATGTAAACTGTGTAAATATTTTGCAAATTACTTGCAAATTAATATATACTTTCAACACACCAGATTTGCTGATTGGTCTAGCCACGGATACGTGAAACCGCGGTTGGCGATTCCGCAGGGAAATTCCTACTTTATTGTA